TTTACAAACAGCCCCAGGCAAGAGAGCAAAGAGGCCATTGTTCTTTGTTCTTTCCTGCGTTCCTTTTGTCCCGCGCTCTCTACAGAATTACAAGACCGAAATTCGCGTGTCAAAGCCGGGGAACCTCTGTACGAATATCGATGGGTCATGTTTACCAGGACCAGTTCATGACACAAAGCCAGGATTCAGAGGCAGGAAAGAAAAAAAATTCCGTATGGGGCGCAAAACGAATGCATATATTCACTTCTCTCCTTGCCCACTGTTCTGAAATTCTGTGAGAAAATAAAATAGATTATTTGTCTGCCTAGCCTTCGCTATTTGCATTACATTCAGCCCCATCAGGAGCGTCTAAGTCTAAGGTGCTCCCGGTAGATTACAGTTTCCCCCTGTCCCGTCTATGTCTAACCACTTGTCCCCTCCGGTTGTCCCTCTGGGAAGTCTATTCTCTAAAGGAACTTTAAGCGTTTGTAATCGGCCGTGTCTATCGGTCTCCACGGTATCGCGGATGGTATGCTGAAGCGGTTGGGGGTGGCGTATCGCGCGTGTCCGAAATGAAAACAAAACAAAATGCAGAATACTCAAAAAAAGTCTCTCTTTCTCCCACTCTCTTCAATACAAGACGATTTACTCGCCCAGGTTCTTAAAGACGTAGGTTTCCGTGTTCTCGGGGAAAGGCACGCCCAGCTCAAACAGCTTGACAATGACGGCGGCAAAGTCCTTGAAGAACAGGTCGTTGTCGGCGGCGTACTTCTCGACGGTCTTCTTGAAGGTCTTGTCCTGGACAAAGGCCATGTCGGCCGGCAGCATCATCAGGGACTTGGTCTCCTTGTCCTCGTACTGCTTGGGGCCGTCCCACTTGCGCCACTGCCACTTGCTGCCCAGCAGAAGCTTGTAGTAGTCGTTGGTCAGCACGGTCGGCGAGAAGGTCCAGGGGCCGTCGAAGCCCGAGTTCTGCGTGTGGCAGCGGCCGAGGGCATGCGCGCCGGCCAGGGCCACAATCTCCTGGTCGTTGAAGCCCATGCGGTAGAAGATGTTGCGCACGTGGTCGGCACCCTGCGCGGCGTCGGGCAGGCGGCCGTCGGGCGTGCACGAGTTGACGTCGCGGTCGCGGCGGCCGGCGCGGAAGGGGATCTTGGGGCCCAGCATCTCCTGGATCGAGCAGACGCCGCCCAGGATCCACAGGTCCGAGTACGAGATCCACGGGAACTTGGCCTTGACGGGCTCGAGGAAGTTGCGCGCGTTGATCAGGCCGGCGTTGGCGCCGTGGTTGCTCTCGGGCGCGAAGCGCATCGTGGCGCCGTTGCTGCCGCCGGTGCCCGTCTCCTTGTCGTAGGTGCCGCTGGCGTGCCACGCCAGGCGCACCAGGACGGGGCCGTAGCTGCCGTCATCGTACTCGTCGTGCTCCTGCAGGAGCTTGGCAATCTCATTGTAGACGGCCTGGTAGTCCTTGAACTCGGGCTTGAAGGCCGCCTTGGGCGCCGCAGCCGAAGCAGACCCGTTCTGGGTCAGGTAGTAGGCAGCGGCACCGACACCGACAGCGCCGACACCGACCCACAGCAGGCTCGACGAACTGCCCGGCTTGGGGGTCTCGGACGAGTAGTAGCGGCGGCCAGCGCCGGCAGAGCCCTGGCGGAAAGCAGCGCGCGCCGAGGCGTTGACGCTGGACGAAGAGTTGGTGAAGCCGCGGCGGGCAGGCGCAGCCGCGCGGGTGGCGGCGCGGAACAGCTGGCGGGAAGCAGCAGAAGCCATTGTGACGGATATATTGAGAAACGGGCGAAAGAGTGGAGATGTGTCTCTGCGAGAAAGAAAGAAGGAAATGTGAGCGTTTGTCCGTGGAATAGAAAAAGAAAAAACTATTCAGAGCGTGCAGAGGGAGTGGGGAAGGGGGGGTTAGATAAGAAAGATGGCCAGCGGGACTGGTCCTAAACGCAACAGAACGATGATTACATACCGTGACCAAGCTGTGGATGAGTCAAAAAGAAGAAACGAGGAGGAAGAGCAAAGGATCAAAAAACGAAGAAAGACAGAAAGAGAGTACGTTTAGAAGGGAGAGGAAGTCAACAACGGAAGGAGAGACGGGAGTGTAAGTGAGGAAGGAGCGAACGACCAGTAGTAGGTAGCAAGGCGTGGAAGACTATGGAAGGAACGCCAGCACGCAACGAGCCGATGAGGATTGTCCACAGATAGGGCAGTTACTCGGGCAAGAGATACAGGAAGTACGGGAGCAAGGAAGCTCAAAATGGCCTGTTGGGCCAGAGTCAAATCCCGGGTGCCGTGCGGGCCAATAGGAAGCTAACAGTTTCCAGCTTACCGGGCGTGCTCCTGCCTTCTGACACGGGTTATCTGGAAGTGGCAAGATTCCCCGAGGCAACAAGGGAAGGCACGGGCGTGGCAGACAAGATACACAGTAGAAACGACGGGACTGTGAGCGCCAGTGACAGTGAGCGTGGTGGGTATTGCAGGCCCAAGTGGGTTAAAGACTAATACTGGCAGACCGGGTTCAAAAAGGAGTCACCAGAAGGGTTCCAGAGGCGGGCCAAGACGCCGGCATAGGAACGGAGCAGAATCGTGCTGGCCTGATCCACATTGCATCATGGCGGCAAAAGAGAGGTAACTCCAATCATGCTGACGAGACAAACACGTACCGCTCTGCCGGTAGGCAGTGACGGAGATGGTCTGTCCTCATCAAACAAAAGGCGACGTTTTGCCCCCCATGCATCGGCTTGTGATCGGACCACCCACTCTTGGCTCTTGCCGTGAAACTCGCAGTTTGTGACAATACATTGAAAGCCAGCTCCTTCCTCTCGAATTTTTGTGCGACCATGCGCCACTGTCCCTCCTTCCTCAGAATTCACTTTTACTCGGCCCCCAATGGCATACCGGTCGCAATTGCAGTACGGGCTCTTTCCTTCTGGGCCCCCCCAAAATCCAAATCACGGCCCATAGCCGTCCTCCCGAAGGCCGGCTAGACGGAAAGAAGCAGGGAGGCAGGGTACCGCCACTTGGCGCAGACACGTTTTAGGGGACATGGGCACTTGACGGAAGTCGAAAGAAACACCTAAGAAACGTGGAAACGATCCGAAAAACAACAAGGGTCCAGCCAACACATGCACGGCTGTGAACCGTTTCGGAGACCGGCCGCGGCATAAGATTGGCTCCCCTGTTGGCAGCACCAGGCACTTATTTGTCTAGACCTGCCCCTCCAAAACGGAGACGTAAGAATCAGAAGGATTTGATAAAAGAGGGACCAAAGGCGAAAAACTAGCCCAAATGTATTGTGTACATGGCCAAAAAAAAGTTTTGAGGTGGCGCGATTGCGCTTCCAAGTAGCGCAAAATCTATTCAGTGTTTGCGACAGGCCAATCATAACGCGTCATTTTAAACGGACCTGCTTTCATCTGCCGTGGCAAAATTCGCGAACTCATGTGCTTTCGGGTCAGAGCAGAAATGTTGGAGAATGCGAGTTGGAGAAAGGAGCAATACGACCAAAGGTGCAACGGGCCAAGACTCCACCAACTAAAATACGAGATAAAACACAGAAAGTTCTTTCTTCTCGTGATTTGACATGAACACGCCTGGTGACCAAGACCCGGCAGTGTTACAGACGTGGGCAATACCGATGTGAGTTGCTGCCTGCAAAGAAGAGTATAACAAATGGTGGGCGGTCTCTGAAAAGAAGTCGGATGAGTTTTACTGCTCAAGGCCCTCCCATTTCTGCCCTTCTCGGGATAATATGCTGTCTGGTTAAGTACCGACGAGTGTCTGCAGAGCAGATTCGACCGTCGAAGGACGACGAAACACTGCATGTCGGGTGTCTATGCTCATGTCTTCGGACGTCATATTAGGAGAGGTGTCAGATTGATTTGTTCTGTTAAGAGGGAGGGATCTAGCTTCCCGGGTTCGTATTAGCAAGAACGACCCCTGACGGTGTTCAAGATATAGAGCTACTTGAAATTGAACGTTGATAAATGTTGTGGTGAACAGAGAGCATACCACTTGTGGTGGCTAACTTCATTATATCGTATATGCTCGTTTGATCCTTGGACTTGTGATGGAGTTAAGTTTGTCTATGCAAATATATATATTTCTAAGGAAAAAAAGACAGTTCTTTTTTAAAAAAAGAAGGGAAATGTTTGGAAGTGTAACTTAACTATAACTCAAAAAAAAAGAAAGAAAAAAAAAATAACACAACACACTCGCAGATGCGATTTACTCCTACCTTTTGAAAGAAGGAAGAAAGAATACAGTCTCTAATATGATATCTTTAATGGGAAAGGGGGAAAAATACACAAATACACAAGCAAGAAATAGACTCATTACTGACATAGTTGACTCACAGTCGACACTCAAAAATAAAGCGTGCAAAAGTGTACAAAAAATTTGCTCAAACAATGCAAATTACACTATTAAACCTCCCTCGGGTGGGCTCGAACCACCAACCTTTAGATAGACTATCATTAGGGATAACAGTCTAACGCGCTAGCCAATTGCGCCACGAGGGAGTGCGCTGGTGCTTGTGGCGGTCCGGTTCCTAATTAGGGTTCTTAAGGGGGGCTGCATGCGGAGGGCGGCAGAGGGCAGGCTGGCCAACAAAAGTGACACAAATACGACATAAAACACGGCCCAAACAAATAATTCCTCACAACAATAGACATTTGCAACCATTTGGAGAGCACTCTCGAGCATTTTACGGTGGAGGATTGGCGCATTCTGAAGATGCGGCTCGGTTCTTCTTCCTAACGAGAATGCAAGTGTCATCTTTTATTTTATTGCATTTCGTAGGTGGTTGATTTTATGCATGCCAAAAGACCGTCCTCTCATTCATCCTCGTACAAGGTGCTGGTCCAGTCGGACGGTGTATTCTGTATACTTTTACAAGACAATATATGCTGGGGATGGTACAAACAAAACGTGACAATATACAAGATAAAACACAACGCATCCACCCATGCTACCACCGCACGCACTGCACTCCTCACACCGCACCCACCTGTACAGTCCTAACTGTAGAGGTCTTCGTCGTCGCTGGCGCGCTGGTCTTGGAAGGAGCCTGCGCCCACAGAGGCCTTGCCCTTGCCCTTGCTGGCTCGGCCATTGAGGATAACACTGCCAGTCTCGTCGTCGTCGTCATCGTTGTCGCTGCCGCCGATGCCGTCGATTCCGCCTTCGTTCTCCTCATCCTCCTCTTCGACATCGCTGAACCGAAGCGACGTCGTCTTGCCTTTGCCCTTGCCCCTGCGGGCGAGCCGTGCGGAATGCGAGGCGGGGGCAGAGACGGCGGTAGGGAGAGGAAACCCGGTGGGTGTCTTTGAAGACGAGGATGAGGACGAGGTCGAGGACTGCTGCTGCTGCTGATCCTTTTCCTTATCTTCCTTCTTCTTGCCCTCAAATGTGGCCCGCACCCGCTCGTAGTGCGCCAGCTCGCCCGCGCTGATACTCGGGACGAGCTCGCGGTTCGCCTCCAAAAAGTCCTGCTCCGTCACGAGCACGGCCACGTCCTCGGGTGTCGCGTAGTGGTCAAAGTAGTACGCCGTCGACATGGGCTTCTTGCCGCTGGCCGTCATGGCGGCGATTTTGTCGTCGACCGCCGAGGCCTGGCGCGTCACGGCCTTGAGCATGGCGTCGCTGCACAGCGCGTAAAAGTCGGCACCTGTGTACGTGAACGGCAGCTGCTGGGCAATCGCGCGCAGCGACACCGAAGGGTGTAGGGTAAACCTAGAGGGACGAGCATTAGTATCTGAATCGGAAAAATGTAGCGTGTCCTACCAGGGCCGGCGATGGAAAAATAACAAAAAAAAAAAAACGTACTTTCTCGTCAGGGCTTCCAGGATCCGCAACTGCTTGTCGTGCGTGTCCGACACGCCCAAGTACAGCATCGTATCGAAGCGGCCGGGACGTAGCAGCGCCTGGTCGAGCAGATCAGGCCGGTTGGTGGCGCCAATGACAAACACACCGCCCGAGCCGGCACCGGAGCCTTCGTCCTCGTCGTCGCCGCCGCCCGACATGCCGTCGAGCTCGGCCAGCAGCTGCGACACGATGCGGTCCATGACGCCACCACTGTCGCCCTGGTTGCCGCGCTTAGGCGCCACGGAATCCAGCTCGTCAAAGAAGACGACACAGGGCCGTGCGTCGCGGGCGCGCTGGAACACGCGCCGCACATTGGCCTCGGACTCGCCAATGTACATGTTGAGCAGCTCGGGGCCTTTGACGCTGAAGAAGTTGAGGCTGTATTCGGTGGCGATGGCCTTGGCCAGCAGCGTCTTGCCCGTACCGGGCGGGCCGTAGAACAGAATGCCGGACCGCTTCTTCATGCCCTTGGCAAACAGCTCGGGCCGCTCGAGCGGCAGCTGGATCGTCTCCATGACGACATCCTTGACGTTGTCGAGACCGCCGACGTCGTTCCAGGTGACGTTGGGAATCTTGGGCGCGCCAATCGCGTCGGCAAAGTTCTTGCGCGCAGCGTCGACGGCGGCGTCAAAGTCGGCCTTGGTCAGGCCGCGCACCGCCGCACCACCAGCCACCTGCACGTCGCGTAGCGTGAGGACCTTGGTGTTCAGCTGCTGTTCCGGATCGAGGCCCACATCGGAAGCGTCCGAGGGCGACGCGGGTGCGACAGGCGTCGACTGGGCCACGACGAGCTTCTCTAAACGCGACTGGCGGCACACAAGTGCGCGCTCCACCACGTCGACAAGATCGCCCGCCACGAGGGCGGCCGTCTTCAGCGCTACGCTGCCGAGGTCGACCTCCGGGTCGAGCACGAGGGCGCGGTCGTTGACAATGTTGCGCAGGATGCTCTGACGCTCCGTCTCGTCGGGCGCGTGCATCTCCATTTCGTGCGTGAAGAGACTGCGCACACCGTCTGGAATCTTGTCGGCCTCCGTGGTCGTCGCAATTAGCACACGTGCGTCCTCGAGGATCTCCTTCATGGACGAGACCATGCGGTCGGCTGTCAGGGCTTCCATGTGGCGGATGAGCAGCGCGCAGCAATCGGGCCCACAGCTCATGGCCAGGCCGGCACGGCCTTTGAGCACACCCTCCGTCTTGGCATCGCCGCCACCGGCGCTGGCCTCGTTGACAACGTCGTAGGCGTCCACTGTGAACGTGTGCAGGCCCATGTCGGAACAGGCATCGACGGCCACAGTGGCCTTGCCAATGTGGCGCTGCGTGGACACGAGCAGAATGGCGACGGGGGGCATGTTGAGGTGGAGGGCACGCTTGCTCGTGGCAGCCGCCACGAGATCGCGCAGCTGTCGCCGCAGAGGTGAGACCTGCTTGCGGTCGGGCTCGACGGCGGCGGGGGCGGCGCGGTCGCCATAACGGCGGGGCGGCTCGCGGAGGCCGAGGTAGTACGGCCAGTTGCTGTCCTTGGTGCCAGGGATGCGCGATGTCGTGGTGCCCGACTGTTCCAGGTGCGCCGTCGAGATGTCCACGCAAGCCACCGTGGTGCCCCAGACACTCTCCTCCTCCTCACCCTCGTCGCCGACGTAGTGACGCTGCTGCTGAGGCTGCGGCTGAGGCTGGACATGGGTCACTTTGAACCACGCCACCTCGTCGGCCTTGAGGGTGGGCTTGCCACTCGCGCCGGCACCGGCACCCGAGGCGGGGGTGCCTGACGACGACGGCGACCCTGCTGCAGCTGCTGCTGCGGTCGCCGCAGACGTGCCATTGCTGCCGTTCGCAGCGGCGGCCGACGACTCTTTGATGCCGCCGGTCAAGGATAGGATGTCCGTGACGGCGGCGTTCTCGCTGGTCAGGAGCATGTCGTTCATGGTGCGGCCGAGCTGTGCGTCGATGGGGATGGCAATGTAGTCGCCAGTCTTGACAACACGCAGCTTTTTCTCAAAGTGCCACTTGAGGCCGGCCACGACGGCCGTCTGCACCGACTTTTCAATCGGCACAGGCGTGCGCACCTGCTGGATGATGACCTTTTGCGCAAAGGGCGGCTGGGCGGCGGCACCCATCTTCGTGGAGGACCGGCCAGCATGGGCGCCGTGGCGACCTAGGGATGACGAAGGTGGGTGCTGGGCGCTTCGCAGCGGGGACAGTCGCAGATACGACGTGCTTTGCATGTTCGCGAGCAGGATGGGCGACAAGTAGGCGATGGGGCTAGAGGGGCGCTGGATCTGCGACTCGAAAAAGGACAGGCGGCGGCCACCAGCCTCGTGCTTGGCGCTGGGGATGCGGGTCACCGGCCGCTGCGAATAGCCCTCGGGCAGGCCAAAGACGCGGACAGGCCGCCAGTCCGGTTCGTCGCCCACGGGTTCACCAAAGCTGCCCAGAGCAAAGCGGCCAAAGCCGTTAACGGGCGGCTCCTCGGCCTCCTCGAGACGCACCCAGTCGCCCGAGAAGCAGCCAATGCGCGTCAGGTTGTTCACGTCCACGTAGACGCGGGCCTCATCGTCGTCGTCGGCACCGGGCTTCGGGTGGAGAATCTCGGGCGGGATGGGGGCGGTCAGGCCTTGGGCCTTGAACAGGCGGCCGCGGGGCCGGTCGGGACGGGCAGTTGTAGCGGTAAAGCTAGAGAAGACCGAGCCAGGCGTGGCGACGCCGTTCGTCCTCCGGCCACGGCCAATCGTCATGGGTGAGCCGGGCTGCAAGGTCGAGACGCCGCTGGCGAGCGTGGCTGGCAGCGTCGGGGCCTGGAGGGAGATCATTTCGTCCATGGAGTCGTCGGAGATCTCGCCGCTGTCGTCCTCCTCGAGGTCGTCGTCGTGGCCGGCGGGCGACAGGTCGGCCTCGGACTCGCCAGTCTCGGAATCTTCGGTAGGTGCGTCGGTCTCGGTCTCCGTGCGCGTGCGCTCTTCGGCGGCCGAGAAGAACTGGTCGTTGGCCGTGTCGTCGCCCTCGTCCTCAGACACGCCATTCAGCTTGCGGCGCGCAGGAATGGGGGCCAAGTCGGCACCGCGGTGGCGGCCGCTCTTGGAGTGCAGGCGGCCGCGCGACACAATGATACGTGTGCTCGGCGTAAGCACGCCCTGGGCGACAGGCTCGCAGAAGGTGACCTTGCCCGGGTTTGGCGGCACGTGGGTGATGGGGTGGGGCGGCAGCGGCAGCGGAAAGAGGTCGCCGGAGTGGACCACCTGCAGAGTGCCCAAAGCAACGCGGAGGGCGGCAGTCAGACGGTCTTCGCCCGACACCTGCGTGCCGTTTGCGCCCTTGGTCTTGCTCTTCGCGGCTTGCAGAGCAGACGCAGTCGGGTGGTCACGGAAGAAGGTGCCTTCACCGGCTTCGAGCCGCTTGCCGAGGTCCCCCTCGAGGCTCACAAAGACGGTATCGAGGGACACGGTCGTGACATCGAGCAGCATCACCTCAATGCCGCGGCGGCTGTGGCCGGAGAATTTGGAGGGTGCAACCTGCTGCAAAATGGCGGCGAATTTCTGAAGGGCCAGAGACGAGGGCGAAAACTGCACGGTGGAGGGTGCGAGGGCCGAGGACTTGGAGACGGGCACAATGGTCCAGTCCGTGGACTCGGCAGACGCGCTCGGGGCCCAGGGGGCCATTGCTACGTGGTAGACGTCGGGCTCGGCGATGGAGGAAGCGGCGGCTGTCGAAGTGGGCGTTGCGCGGGCGAGGGCTGCACCAAAGCCATTGGCACCTGGGACGCGAAGACGGTCAGCATGGGCCAAGGGAGCGACACAAGGTAAAATGACAGAGCATGTTGAAGCCTACCGTCTTTCTGCTGCTGCTCCTGCTGGTACAGGTGCGGGAAGAGGTCGGCAAACAGGTCCTCGGACAGGATGCCGACATCGCCCCGGACGTGGTCATCGAGGACGAGGCGTGCGTTGACAGCAGGCTTGTCGAGCCGCCGACGTCGAAGACGGCGTCTGCGGGGCCGTGAGGCCACGACTTGCGGCGGAGATGCCACCGCAGCCATAGCGAGGTGTGGGAAGAGGGGAGGATTGTAAGGCAAGATGGTTTGTTTATTTGTTTATTCTTATTCCTTCGTTTCTTGTCGTGTGCGTCGTTCAGTTCGAGACGGGCTCGGTTTATGCTGTGTCTGCCCGGCTGTGTAACGCGTGCATCGCTGTTCAGACGTGTCGTCGGGATGAGGGGTCAATGGCTCGCGGGCTCGCAAGCTGACGCGAAGAAGAGACGTTACAGAGTGCCGGCCACGTCGTGATGCGATGTGATGTGAGATGGGCAATTATGATTCGAGAGGGAAAGTCCAATGGGTCGCGAATGGTGCTGGGGAAGCAAGACCGAACTAGCGCCTGCAGAACCTCTCCTCGGTCGTTGTTTCCCCTTGTGCACGCTGCCCCTGCCCCAGAGCTTCTTTCCATTGCGGAGCTTATTAGCGGCTCTTTCATTTGGCCTCGGTTGGTCGCGCCTGCCCTCTGGGGTAACACTGATGCGGTATAGTCACGTGACAATTTTGGGGAAAGTCACCGCACAGATTGCTCGCTAACAGTGTGGCAGTCCACTAAACGCAACGGAGGCTGGGGCGGATCACATGTGAGCCAGTGAAAAGACCGCTATAAAGTACTCCATATCAGCGCTCCACACGGTCCACAGTAGTCGCTTTCAGGCGGTCGAGGCCCTGTAAATTGCGGTGCAGAGTATGTTGTATTGATCGCTATGACGCAACACCAGCCGCCCCTTCCCCCCCTGACACGCCTGGCCGTGGCAAGAGCGACTGTCGTTGGTTGAAGTCTTCCACGCCAAACAAGTTTAAAGCATTTTGCAAACCTCTCGTCTCATCTAATTTAGGGTTTCTACGAACCAACTGCCAGCGTGCCTTGTTTTTGCCGTATTGGGAGGTTTGTCCTGGTTGTCATTGACAAGCCTTGCTGTCAAAGACTGGGACAGCTTTGGTTGGTGCGTGGCGGAGCGGCCGTTGTGGAATCCCATTGAATCCAGTCTGACGTCTGGTTTTTTATATCTTTTTCGTCATTTTTTCTTTACTTTCATTGGCGCCCTTTTTTATGCACATTTTTGTTTACGTCTCTTTTCTGTTCGATTTTTGGACAATCAGATCCTCATATATCACCAGATTCCGCTCATTGTGTGTCGATCCATCGTACATCTCTCATTGTTGACGTCCCTCACTATCATCACACCGTTTCGATGTCGACCTGATGCAACATCGTCTTCGCCATACTGCATACCACATCAGATCGTTGCATTTCGATTCCCATACCGGTCCAAATCCCTCGGGTCCGGACCCGTTCTCGCCATGGTGTCCGAAAAGCCACGACCAGACGGCGGTCCACCGGCCCAGCAACAGCAAAAGGGCGACAGCAACGACGACGCCCACAGCCCGCTGCTGCTAGATGAGACACTCGCACAGACAGCCGTCGAGTTCGTGAAGCAGTCCGAGAAATTGTCACTGCAGAAATCCGACAATGAGCCCCCAGGCCAGTCACGCGAGATGGCCGTCGAAGCCCGCTTCGTCACGCCGCAAGATCCCGTCATCGTCACAGCCGATGGCAACCGACTACCTCCCGTGCCCCTGTCCGAGGCCCACAAGCTCAACATCCTCAAAGACGAGCTGCAGGGCAAGGCACAGATCCTGGATGAAAAGGCTTCTGCGAACAAAGCCGCGAGACCAGAAAAAGCAACTTCCTCCAATCAACCCCCCAATGGGGCGCCGGATCAGCCGGGCCCTGCTTCGTCGTCCGAGAAGCTGCTTGACATTGGCCAGAAAGAGCGGCAGAAAAAGGCAAAGAGGGCCAAGCAGCGCTTCGCATCTCCCATGCAACGGTCGGCCGAAGGCACACTGCAGCGCGCCATGCCGCCATCCCACACCAACCCGCTCTTCCCCCCGCTGCCGCTGTACGGCCCGCCGTCTATTTTGCGCAACCTGCAGAGCACCACCTTCCGTGTGACGTCGTTTTTTCTCAGCCTGTCGTTCCTGGGCGTCATTGTCCTCGGCTCGCTCTTCACGAGCATCCCGGGCGCCTTTCGACGCATGGCCTGCCGCCTGACGCTGCGCGACCCGGACGCCAACCGACCGCTGTATGCCGAGGAGAAGCGCCGCGCGAAGCTGCGCCATGACTTGGACCGCAATTGGCGGCGGCAGCAGCGGCGGCAGCGGCAGCGACGCGACAGCAGCGAAGACGAAGACCCGGCAGGTGCTGGTGTCGGCGACGCCACATACACGCCCACGGCCGGCGGGCCCGACCCTCTTGTGCCGGACGTGGCTCACTATGCGCGCCGCGTGGGGCTCGATGTCGAGGCGTTCGAGGTGCAGACCGAAGACGGCTTCCTCATCGACCTGTGGCACATTGTCGACCCGAACGAGGACACGCCACGGCCAGCGGAGGCCCGCAAGCACCGGGGGCCGGGGCTGCTGTTCGACGAGACGACAAAGGAAGAGCGTGCCGCGACCGAGCAGGCGATGCTGAACGAGCCACGGACCAACAACAAGAGGCCCAAGTTCCCCGTTCTGCTCGTGCACGGCCTGCTGCAGAGCGCCGGCGCCTATTGTGTCGGCGACGACGACTCGCTCGCCTTCTACCTCTGCAAAGCCGGGTACGACGTGTGGCTCGGCAACAACCGCTGCGGCTTCCAGCCGCGCCACACCGTGCTGCACCCCTCTGATCCGCGCATGTGGTGCTGGAACATTCGCCAGATGGGCGTCTTTGACCTGCCCGCGCTGGCGTCGCGTGTGCTGCGCGAGACGCGCTTTGCGCACCTGGGCCTGGTGTGCCACTCGCAGGGCACCACCGAGGCGCTCGTGGCCCTGGCCAAGGAGCAGCGGCCGGATCTGGGCGAGGCCTTGACCGTCTTTTGTGCGCTGGCGCCGGCGGTGTATGCGGGTCGCCTGATTGGCAAGATGTATTTCAAGTTCATGCGCGTCATCTCGCCCGCCATGTTCCGCATCATGTTTGGCATCCACTCGTTTATCCCGCTCATGATGCAAGTACACCCGCTGCTGCCCGGCAGGCTGTACGGCTGGCTGGGGTACCGGGTATTTTCTTTCCTGTTTGAATGGACCGACGCGCGGTGGGACCGCGGCCTGCGCGACCGCATGTTCCAGTTTTCGCCAGTGTATGTCAGCGCCGAGTCGATGCGGTGGTGGCTGGGCCGCGAGGGGTTTGCGCGGCACAAGTGCATCCTGGCGACCAAGGAAGAGTGGCGGCGTGAAGAGGCGGAGGCTGACGCTGCGGCCGAGGCAAATGAGGCTGATGAGGCCGACGAGTCCGACGAGACGAGCCCGGCCGAAGACGAAAACGAAGACGATGCCTTGGGAAACCGCGTTCCTGGCTCTTCGGCCTGGTACGACGAGCGGGTCCCACCATTTGCGCTGTGGGTGTGTGGCCGCGACGATCTCGTGGACGGCCGCCGGCTGCTGAGGCGCTTCCTGCCACGGCCCGTCTTTGCAGCCCTCGAACGTGGTCAGGGTAGCCGCAGCACGAGCAGTGGGACACAACGCAGCCTCCGTGAGCCGCATGTGCGCGTCGTGCACGCCAAGGTGATACCAGAGTACGAGCACCTGGACGTCATCTGGGCCATTGACGCGGTGGACGAGGTGTTCGGCGAGGTGCGTGACGTTCTTTGGAAGACGTGCAACGTGCGCAATTCGTGCCGGGTGCCTCGAGGCTGTGAGACGGTGGAGGCGTGGGATGACCCTGCTCGGCAGTGGCGACTGAAGAGTGACGGAGGGGGTATGAATGATGAAGACACCATGGACGGTGCGGCCGTTGGAAATAGCGGCACGGCCACAGCTGGCACATGAGTCAAGAAGAGCAAAAAGCAACTATAGATGTGTCGGGAAAAAATGGATAATAACGAGAGTCACGAATAGAAAGACAACGCAGCCCACGAGAACACGAGAGCGACAGCCTGCTAGCATAAGGTATATGGTAGAAAAGTATATAGAATGTATATAAAAGATCCAAGAAAAGATGACCAGGTGATCAAAAGACTTTTAAATAGGGAAAAGAAAAGAATGTACGGGTAATATGAAATAGAGTGTCCAATCTGAGTGTAAAAGATCGAGAGCAGGTTGAAGCGCTCGTTTGTGCTTCTGTGTTTCTGTGTTCTACGCTTGCCCCAAGCCTTGGCTCCGCCATGTAACAAAAGTTGCTTCGGCAGCTGCCTCCTCGCACGTCTGCTTTGGCACGAACCTCGTCTGAAGTTTGTTAGCTAGGGCCTCAATAGAGTCTGGGATAATGTTTTACTCATCTGCCAACGTACAATGCTTGTTGAGAGCAATGTGTTTATATGTATGTCGTGTACCGTATACTTTTGCCACGTTGTTAAGCGAAAGCACGCCATACGATCCAAAATTCTCCGAGAAGGAGAATATAAAATAGACTGGCTGTGATGGTCACAGCCACATAGCCTGACAAAGAGGGCAAGAGGGCTCTTAGCAACGTGACGATGTCACGTTGCGGCTGCCTCTTCACTCGCGCTTCTTCAAATTGTCGATGCCGGTCTTGGTCTCCGAGTGCTCTGTCTGCAGCTTGCGCTGCCTCACAAACAGGCTAGCGAGGACCGAGACGCCGGCAATGACCGTGTACATCAGGAAGATGTTCTTGATGCTGGCCGAGAAGGCGTCTTGGACGGCGCGGCGCTGGCCGGCGTCTGCAATGTCGGCGACGAGGTCGACGTTGGCGGCGGCCTGGTTGCCGGCAAAGGCAGCGAGCGTGGTGCCGTTGAGACCGGCGGCCCCGAGCGTGTGCTGCTCGGTGTTCATGCCGTTTTGCAGCACGACGCCGCCCAAGACGACGGACAGGGCCGTGGCGACGTTGCGGATGAAGCCCATGGTGGCGGTGGCGGTGGCGGTCTCGGACTGGCGCACGGTGTTCTGGACGGCGAGCATGGGCGACTGGAAGAGCAGGGCGGTGCCGACGCCGCCAATGATTTCGATGCCAATGATGGTGCCAATGGGGGTGTCGGGCGTGAAGATGAGGAAGAGGCCGGTGCCGAGGGCCATGAGAGAGGTGCCGACCCACATCATCTCGCGGTAGCGGCCGGTGTAGTGGATGAGGACGCCGGACAGGATGTCGACGGCAGCCTCGGCGGCGGTCATGGGGATGAGCATGAGGCCGCTGCGCAGGGGCGAGGCCTGCTTGGCGCTCTGGAAATAGAGGGGCAGGTAAAACTCGCAGCCAATAGCGACCATGTTGTGGCCAAAGGACATGATGCAGATGGCAATGTTGTGCCAGTGGGTGAACATGCCGAGCGGCATGATGGGGAACGTGGCCAGGCGGGCCTCGGTGTAGACAAAGACGCCAATCATGGAGACGCCCACGGCGATCAGGGCAATGACCTTGGGGCTGTTCCAGGGGAAGGTGGCGCCGCCAAAGTCGAGGCCGAGCAGCACCAGCAGGGTGACGGCCAGGATGGCAACGGTGCCGAGCCAGTCGACGGCCCGCAGGCCGTCCTTGAGGGGCGTGCGCGGGTTGTGCACGTCGAGGAAGAGGACCACGAGGACAAAGGACACGCCGCAGATGGGCAGGTTGATCCAGAAGCACCAGCGCCAGCTGGCCAGCTGCGTCAGTGCACCGCCGAGCAGCGGGCCCGCCGAGCCGGCGACGGCCCACACGATGGCCAGGGCGCCCAGGTAGAGCGAGCGACGGCGGACGCTAAACAGGTCTGAGATGGTGATGGTGACAAGCGGGAACACGCCGCCGCCCGCCACGCCCTGCAGAGCACGGCCGGCGATCATGGTGGGCATGTTGCGGCTCAGCGCAGCAATCGTGCTAGCGACAGCAAACAGCACAATGGCGGCCAGGAGCGCGGGCTTGCGGCCCCAGATGTCGCTGCCACGAGCCCAGATGGGCCCAGCTGCGGCCGTGGCTAGCAGGTAGGCGCCGCCGATCCACACATAGCCGGTAGCAGAGTGCAGCGACGCAGCAATGGTCGGGATGCACGTGGCAACAATGGTCTGGTCAAGGGCCGCAATGAAGAGGGAGAGCTGAGGTCGTTAGCGTTTGTGTTTTGTGTGTGTGGCGATAGTAAGAGAGAGATGCAGGGGGAAGATTGGAGCAGGGAAAGTGGTATGAGTGGACGTACGAAAAGGGAAGCCAGAATGGCGTACAGGCGCCAGCTGGTGCGCTCCTCATCTTCGGTCGCGACTTCCACGGGATCGATGACGGCCTTGTCTGCCGGGGCAGGTACGACCGCCGGCCCAGCAAGCGCGGCAGGCGTGGTCTCGAGGACGGTAGGCTCGTCGGTGGAAGGCGCAACCGCGAGCTTAATGGCGTCGGTGTCGGCCATGGGAACAGAGGGGATGAGGAAGGAGCAAGTGTCTAGCAGACAATGAAGTAATTAAAATAATTGAATAAATAAATCGTTATTTGGTAGTGTTCTTCTCTTCCATTTTAACGTTCTCACAACTCAATTCGCGACGGAATACGATGCCATTTTGTATGGTTTTTTTGTCTTTGTTGTCCAGCTCGTCCCGTGTCACGAACTGACATCTGACGCCCTTCCACTCCCCGCGTCCCCATGTTGCATGGCGCCCTTTAGCACAGCCTGTGGCCAAAATTGCGATTGATTTGAGCCCGAGAAGGATCTTGCGCGGCAACTATTTTCGACGGCTGCAATTGTCTGTCATTCCTTGTGTTCGCTGTATGCCGTCTGCTGTATCTCTGTATCGAGTCCTTCTCGACGGAGTCAAACGCCGTTGTTCTGTTCTTCTCCAGTCCCGGAACCGCCTACCGCTGAGTCACTTCCCCGGGCGGCTTGGCGTGCAAATTTCGCGGTTTTACGTCGTCAAAAGTGTGCTGCGCCTTCCGCTTTGGGTAACTGGCTGACAGATTCCTCAAATGCGCTTCGGGAAACAAGACGGAAGGAGCGATGCAGGGCATTTGTTCGAGACCATCACGAAACTATTTGAAATCAAAAGAAAACGACAAAACATCGTGAAAGACTCAATGAAGACTCAATGAAGACTCAATGAAGACTCAATGAAGACTCAATGAAGACTCAATGAAGACTCAATGAAGACTCAATGAAGATTCAATGAAGGCTCAATGGATGCAACATCGTCGCGTCAACCGAGCAAGTATGAGCCACCGGACGCTTGAGTCTGTGGGCCTGCTGCATCGGATACCCGGCACGGCAAATGCCGCTGTAGAGTTTTGAGTATCGTTTGGAAGAGACTAAGGCGACGGTCGTTTTCTCAAATACCGAACAAAATACCTGCGATCCAAACAGTCAAGGAAAAGCCACTTTGAATTTATCGACGTCGGGACGGACCTTCCTCTAAATAGTGTCCGACAATACAGAGGTCCTTATCGCCCTCTTGGCCGCTAGTTCGGCGTCGATAAATTCCACATAGATAATTATTGCATAGTCGGCGGCATCCAGTCCGCGCGCCCACTCCGTTACGACGCTGCTGGTGCTGGCCCTGGTCGAATCGGGACGCCTGATAACGGACGCCCGACACCGTCGATAGGTCGATAGGTTCACTCGCCGCCGGAGGTGGCCGCGTCCGCGATTGCTACCACATCGATATGAATATGAAATGAGAAATCCTGATAAATATGAGAACTTAAGCAAAGTTTGCATCGAGACCGTATCTGATATTTACTGCCCTCTGTTGAATCGCTTCATTTGGCTTCCATTTCCAGCCGCACACAATACTCGAAATCAGAGACGTACTAACAAACTGACCGTCCGTGTTCCGTTGCCTCCCACCATGTCTCGCTCGCTGTGCATTGCCGCCGCCCAGATGGGCTCGACGCACTACGCAGATCCCCGCGACAAGACTGTCGGCCGTATGGTGGCGCTGCTCGACGGCGCAGTGGCCAAAGGCGCCCAGGTCGTCCTGTTTCCGGAGACGGCGTTTGGCACCTTCTTCCCGCGCCACCTCATCGCCGACCCTGTCGAGCTGGACAGCTTCTTTGAGCACGGCGACATTGTCACGCAGCCCATGACGAAGCCGTTGTTTGACCGCGCGCGCGAGCACAAGGTGCATATCTGCGTCGGGTACGCCGAGAAGACGGACGCCGGCGAGGCCTTTAATGCGTGCATCTTCTACGACGGCCAGTCCGGCGCTCTGCTCAGCAAGTACCGCAAGATCCACCTGCCGGGCGACGTCGAGCCCTTTGCCGACCCCAGCGCCCTCAACCAGCTCGAAAAGCGCTACTTTCGCCCGGGCGACCTTGGCTTCCAGGCGTTCCGTGTGCCGGGGCTCGTCGATAGCGACGAGGCGGCGGCACAGGGCGACCCTATTTTCGGCATGATGATCTGCAACGACCGTCGATGGGCCGAGTCGTGGCGTGTGCTGGGCCTGCAGGGCGTCGAGGTCGTGCTGTGCGGCTACAACACGCCCGGCTTTGCGCCGCACCTGTACGGCACCAACGGGACACCCGCCGCCGACGACTATGCTGCCTCGCGTGTCAAAGCGCTCTTCCATCACCACTTGGTCATGCAGGCCTACAGCTACACTAACTCGTGCTTCAGTGTGTGTGCCGCTCGTGCGGGTCTTGACGACGGCAAGTATGAGCTGATCGGTGGCAGCTGCATTGTTGGCCCAGACGGCGACATCCTCGCGCAGGCGTTGACGGAAGAGGACGAGATTGTCGTCGCAGACATTAACCTCGCCGAGTGCAAGGCGGGGAAGACGCGCACCTTTGACTTCCAGCGCCACCGCCGCGTAGAACATTATGGCCGCATCACGCAGCAGACAGGTGTCGTTGAGCCGCCGCGACTGGGGAGCAATGGTGGTGTTGTAGGCACGACAGCAGCCCCACCATCCTCGCGGAAAATTCGCATTCTGCTCGTCAACCCCAACAGCACCGCGTCCATGACGGCCGAGTGTGTTGCCCTGGCTGCGCCAACATTGCCGCCGGATGTCGAGCTCACCGGTTTCACGGCGCCGCGACCTGCGCCCTCGGCCATTGAGAGCAGCTTCGACAATGTCATGTCGGCGGCGGCAGCGGCACGTGCTGTCCTGCCCATCGCTGCCACACATGACGCCGTGCTCGTGGCCTGCTACTCGGACCATGCCGTCATCCGCATGCTGCGCGAAGAATTGAGTGGCCAGCCCGTCGTCGGCATCATGGAGGCGTCGCTGGCTGTGGCAAGGACGCTGGGTGGCCGTTTCGGCCTGATTGCCACGAGCGACCGGTCGTGCGTCACGCACGAGGACACCATTCACAACATGGGCCTGTCGCGCATTTGTGCGGGCGTCGCCAGCTGCAAACTGGGGGTGCTCGACCTGCACGCCGGCGACGACGATGCCCAAAAAAGGGTCAATCAATCTATTTTCACCGCCGCACAGAGTCTCGTGGCCAAGGGCGCCGAGGTGTTGACACTTGGCTGTGCCGGTATGACACCGCTGAAGCTAGCTGTCGAGGCTGCTGTCGGACCGGACGTGACAGTCGTTGATGGCGTGCTCGCAGGTGTACAACACCTTTCGGGCATCGTGCGTGTAGGTAGCCGTACGGCTAAAATTGGCCTGTACAAGAGCTCGTCGGCGACTCGCAAGGCCCGCGGCCAGGACTGGATCTAACCCTGAAACCGGCCAAGGACAGCTGCATACAACATATCCCAGTCAACGTTGTATCACCATGCCATTGTACATAGACACAATCCATACCTCAAAGAATATACCACTTGGTATGACACATGCCCACCTCTAACGGGAACCACCTCTCTTGGCCTTGCAAGTCCCCTGGTGCCCCCAGCGTGCTTTCCACGTGCGGTGGCCAAAGTGTTGCATTTGTTAGTTTTCCATTGGTCCATTGTCCTATCCTTTGCGCTTCTGTCGTCTCTTTGTTTTTGTCTTCTAGTATCGTGACGTCGTTCGTATTAAAAGGATTTTCTTCATCCCTTTGCCCGTGTCCCTTTCCACATTGGGCATCTAGCCGCTTGTCGATTAGCACCCATAGGGCTGCGGCATGCGTTGGGAGGCACACACAAAGGGAGGCTTTTCTTTTGTCGTTTCGATTCCAGTCAAACACCTGCCCTTCGATTCACGCTGATGAAATTTGCCTCTGCCACACCGGGCGAAACGGAAATTAGGGCAGGCCTAGAAAGAAAGTGCTTCTTTGTTGTTCTTCAACTGTTGGATTCATTATGCACTCCGAATTGGCGAAATGTGGCGGGTCGACCGAGACACGCCAACGGGCACCGGCGGACGGGCCAGAGCTACCAAAAGCAACCAAACAAGCGGCGTTCCCTGTTCACTCCATTTGGCAGTTAGTGTTGTTTCCCTCGTTGGTATTGAAAGGACTTGGATATGTTGTATGTTCCGTCACAGTTGCAAAGCTGAAGCAGGGCACCAACATCGCTTCCATGAAAAGCACGACGTAGACATAGTGCCTGTTTGCTGTACTTTGTCCGCACGAGGGATTCGCAGCGTCCTCCGTGCACATCCGGCCGCTGCAGTTGGCGTTGGCTCCATGTTGGCACGGCCAAGTTGGTCACGCTGACCCGTCGCAGTCAGACAAGAGGCAAATGGCCAGCTGCAAAGCAACCCGCCGTCGTTCCATTCGCATAGAAACCCATCCGTCCCCACCCATGTCACGGAAAGACGGTGAGCGCGACAAAACCCAGGTTGCCACGCTGTCGTAACGCATCATCGAGGCCCATGAGGGTTGGCCAAGCCTAACAGCGTGTGTTTGCAGCAACGGTATGCTTGCAACGCGCAACCGCGAAATGACGGTCAATTTGTTTCATCTGAATCTCACGTGATTCTGAAATTGCCGGCATGGATCAGCATTATATTTAATAGGTGTGTGGGTCTTGCAACCATCGACGGCTCGAATCGAGAACCGAGGAACAAAGAAAGAAAACAAAGTAAAGCAAAAAAAGAAGGCTTGCCAGACGCCAAAAGATGACAAGAGGTGGACGAAAAGCGATCGGCCGGAGGAGGAAGCAAATCGTACGCAAAGTATGAAAAGGAGAGATGCAAGGAAACAAAGAACACAATCCTACAGGTCGGAGGCAGGAACCGAAAGTCGTTTGTCGCCTCTTTTGTGTTGATTTGCTCTTTCCCGATGGGGTTGTCCGCTCTCCATGGATAAGGAAAGAGCTTTCATGAGCTAGCATTCAAGGAGGAAAGAGCGAGGGTGACAAGGCGGTAATTCTCCGTGGTTTCTCCATATTTCGTAAGATACTCCCCATAGGAGGGTGAGACATGGCACATTACAGAGGGGATAGAAGAACAAAAAGAAGGACCGAACGGGCAGGGAGACAGAGACAAAACGGCTGCCGGACGAAATACGAAGGAGTGGACGCCAATTTCCCCTCATAACGAAGGACAGACGGAACACCACCGAAGACTATGGAACAACAGAACAGCGGCAACCAAGCAAACGCCACGCCATGCATGCTGCATAGGAGGCGTGGCACTTGTTGCCAGCATGTGTTTCTGGACGAATCACGGCGGTGTCAGAGGCCTGACACAACGCAGGCTGCAGGGACATGTGTGTATGACGGAGGACGGAGGACGCAGGTCGCAGCTTCCTGCCTGGTCTTAATGCCGTCGGCCGGGACAGGACTTTCAAAACAAACTGGCAAGAACCTGGGTGCCGCATCGACTGGACTACTACGAATGTACAGAATAGACTACTCGAGGTAAGAAGCCCCTTCAAACAAGCGAGACAGGCCAGGAGTACCAAGGTATCTTACCAAGCGAGGAAGGAGCGACTGGAGAAGCCCACACACACGCCGGCCAAACACATCCATGCAGGACTAGCTCTGGCCCCCAACAGGCCCAATAAACCAGAAACAGGCGCAGCAAGCGTCAACCATCCAGGAAATTGAGAAAGAAGGAAAGGCAACCGAAGGAAATGAGTCGTTGCGGGGGTGGCAGGTCGTCCCGACTGTGTGTGAAGCAGCGTTTGACAGCGTCGGGGGCCCACTCCCTTGAGATTTAGCGCAGACTCGCGCCTCGAGTGGCCTACCCAAGGCCCTGGCCTGCCCATGCCAGCCGAGAAACAGGCGCGACTGCCCACTAAATAGGATGTCGGGGCCAATTGCATCGTCAAGTCTTGCTGCGGAAGGCAGCAGGCGAAGGCTAAAAGGCGAAGGCGAAAAGCGAAATCGAAAAAGTCGAGGCAGGAGCGAGGGGCCCTGGGGCCCCATGCAGTATGGCCTGCAGCACTGCAGCATCGCTCCTGCCTCACACCCACTGCCACCTGCTGGCGCATGCCACCCTGCACCTGCCTGCAGCACAAAAACACGTTTCCGCTCGTTCCTTCCTTTCCCCAAGCCCCCAAACGTCCGAACCCCCCCCCCTTCCCCCCCCTCAACACAACCCTCAGCAACCACCCACTCGGGTATTGTGCATTTTGGTAGCGTCGTCCTCCGGTGCCATCGTCCGTAAGCCATAACCATAAGCCCAAGCCAAACACGTCCGGTCGAATTCTCACCATTTCCACCACCACCACAACCGCCCTTTCGAACGTGCAAACGCCTCCCACACCCACGCCGCACGCCAGTCGCTTCTGGCGCGCCCGATGCCCATTTCTATCGCCCAACTCGCACACGCCCGTCCCGTGCCTTCTTTCCCTCTCACTCGCGGCCTCTCTCTCATATCCGCATATCGCCACTTTTTGAGTTGCTTCACCTCCGCATCCACCGGGGCCACCACTGCCTCTTCCCTCTCTCGCTCCCTCCTTCTGACGCCTTGTCTCAATGCCGTCCTCGCGAGCCGCGCTTTGAGTGAACAGCCAGCGACCGCCATGGTTGGTGTTCCCGGACGCTCCAAGGCGTGCGCGACGTGCCGCCGGCGCAAAAAAGGTGTAAGTGTTTGGATCCTGGGTGGTGTCTGTTTTGCTTTGTTTCCCGTCGGCTCTCGTCGTCGTCCGTTGTGTCCGTTGTTTCCTCAGCCGCATCGATCTAGACTGCGTTGCACAGGACCCTCCCGTCGCACGTTGGGGGCCGTACGTGTTTATTTTTATGTTCTCGCAAACGTGGACGATGGCTGCACGGCTGCAGCGCGCATTTTATTTCCCTTTTGGGCCTGTGCCCAGAGGCCCAACGTTCACGTTCTTCTTTCATGCTCCCGCGTTTGTGTTTCGTCTTCTCTTTTGCACGGTTTCGACCGTGGGCATCCCATCTCGGGATCCTGTCAATACGACGGCGCGCGCCTGTTGGACCAAGCACAGCTCGTCGCCGCACACCCAGCGTCTGCCAGCTGCGTCGTCGTGTCGTCGTGTCGTCGTGTCGCCTTGTCGTCACTAGTCGTCACCATGCTTCCTCGCCGTCGACGCCTCGTGCCATGGTGACGTAGGACAACACAGGTCTATGCGCCGGATGAAGAAGTCAAGGGCCCAGGACCACAGCGGCGGGACGGCCGGATCGGGTCTCGACGAACCCGAGATGCTGCCTTACAGTGCTGGGATGGTCGCACACGATGGGGCGGGTGACACAAGTGGTGTTTTTCGGGGGTGCACGTTTTTCTTTTGGTCTTGTCTTTCTTTACTAACCAGGGGGCGTTTTCGTTTGCCTGCTCGGCATCTACAGTGCGATTTCCAACGACCATCATGTACCCAATGCCTGCGTGCAGGCCTCGAATGCGGCGGCTACGAACGCGGCCGCATCTTTGTCCACACTACGCAGCACCGCCCGTCGGCGCTGGTGTCTGTCCGCGAGAGCGCATTTGCACCCGGCACGACCGTCGACATTGGTGCAACACCGAGCAGCACGAGCACGAGCTCTGGTCTCGCGTCGATTACCAACAACCAAAGCCGAAACACTTCGATTGTCAGCGCCGTGACCCCGAGCCCCACACAAAATAGTTATGACAACGGTCTGCCGGGTGGCTTTGCTTTCCCGAATGGCTATGCCAACCACCTCCCGAACGGCCTGCCAAACGACCTCCCAATCGACTTCGACGACGAGTCGAATGACTACACAAACGACGGCAACGGCCATACATACGACCAACCGAACGCCCTGGTCACAAACTATGTTGCTACCAACGGCGCCCTGACCAACGCCACGCCGCCGCATACACCCAGCCGGCAAACGCCGACGTTACAAACCCCACGAGCCACTCCTTCACCGCGGCGAAGACCTGACCTGCGCATCGTGCCAACGTATTACGGGGCCGGGTCCTCGCTGGGGTCGGACAGCAGTCTGATCGGGTCTGCGCGCGAGGAGAATCTGCTCGCCACGTTTTGGCAGGCCTACCTGCCAAACAGCACCATCTTCCCACCGCAGGCCGTTGGCTATGCCAGTGGCGGCTGGACGAACGTGGTGCAAGAGCTGTACCGCAAAGATCCGGTGTTGCGCCACACGCTCATGGCAAACTGCTTCTCGGCCGCCGCACGCACCGCCGAAACAAAAGACGACTCTCGGGCCTTGGCTGAGCAGAGTTTGCGCTCGCACGGCCGGGCGCTGCACGAATTGCGTGTGGCTCTCGACAATCCGCAGAAAGCAAGGAGCGACAGTGTCTTTTCTACTCTGCGGCTCATGATTGTCTTTTCTGTACGTTGATTTGTGGTCCCCACCTGCCGGTACTCCTATACAGTCCATACCCCGGCATATCTCAGTTCTAACCACAGGCAGATGTTCTTCTCGGATCGATACGAAGAAGACCGGAGGGCGCGCGCCCGCGGCTGGAAGGAGCACAATGCAGGCGTGCTTGCCCTTCTTCGGGCGCGTGGGCCTGAAGCCCATATCTCTGGCCACGGTCATCAGATGTTTGTTGACTGCCGCCTCGCTCTTGTAAGACGACCGCCACACACATATCGAACCCCCGTAGCTTCATTGGGGCTTGACGGCTAACTGATCGAAACAGATTGTAGCGGCCATGCGTATTCGCAAGAGGTCACCCCTCAACAGCCACCAGTGGATGACGATCCCGTGGTCGCAGATCCCCAAGACGCCCAAAGATCGGCTTATCGACATCATGTCTGGCATGCCGACCATCCTTGAGAACATCGACTGGCTCGAGCAGATGCCGCGCAACAAAGAGTACGACGAGTTCCGCAGGAAGGTGATCAATACGTGCTGGTCCTACGACGAGCAGCTCAGCGCATGGTACGAAGAGAACGTTCCCAAAGACCGCCTCTTTGCCCTCGAACAGAGCACCTTGCACAGCGAAGGCGCGTTCCGGCCTCTGCCGGAAGACGGCGAAGAATACGCCCTCCCCACAGAGGACCTGTCGATTGTCTACATCATGACGGTCTACTGCACGGCCTGTCTGCTGCTCTACAGCACAATGCATTCGCTGAATGTGCCCGACCTCCCCGAGCGTGCCAACGTGAGCCAGTACATCAACAAGATTGCGTTGTACCTACAGGTCTTTTTCCATCCCAGCACGGGCCAGTACGGCCTGGAGATGACGTCCTTCCCGCTCGGCATGTGCCTGCAAATCCTGTCGTCCAACTTCCCCATCGGCGGCGATCCAGTCAAGGAGCGTGCCAAGTTCACACGGTTGCTCGAAACGAACCGCGGCAAGGAGATCCTCGACTTTTTGCGCAGCATGCTGAACACCAACGAAACAACAAAATCATGACAGGATGGGCCCGTTCCATGGACAGCGGCTCATGTTACCAGACGACTCTACTTCAAACCAGCTCAATATGGGCATATAACTACTGTCCTACGCGAGATACCACAATACCCACCCTCTGCTACCCACACCAGCACCTACCCTGATTCCGCCACCGTTTATGATTCGACATGACTCTTCACTTGTTCCGATAGAAACACTGACCTACGCTAGGAGAAGGTTGTCGTCCTTTCACTGCAATGGCCGACGGCGTCAGTTTTGTACCCCACCATGTTTAATGTTCTCTCCCCTCTAGAGGAAAAGGGGCGGCTTTGAAGATCTCACTCGATGTGTGCAATTTATTTCTTGGGCGTTTTCTTTTTGTTTTCTGTTTTGTTGTTTTTGTTATATCCAAAGTTGGTGTTTACTTGTTGGACTAGTTATCCCCTACCTGGTTAACGTCTGTTTTTTCTCTTGTAAGGGCTCGCATTTTCTTGGTTGTATATTTAACGATTTGTCTCATTCTTAATGTTTTCATGTTGGGTATTTGTTTCTTGTATTTTTTCTGGTATTACCCCAGTACGCATGATAGGATTCGATTCTAGGGGCGAGGAAAAGCAGAACTACTGGATAGAAAGGTGGAAGTTATTGAATGAAGGTGAATGGGAAATTGATGTTGTATGTACTGTCACTTGGGCATGAACCGGAGAGACATGCGCTGTGAATTACTCCATGTCGTGTTACTTCAACTGAACGAGTCAATATAGATTGCCTCTTTTGTTTTGAGACAATATAGCTAGCGGAAGTACCTTGACAGGGCAGAAGTCGACACAACAAACGACGACAAACGACGACAACAAACGGGCGCAGCCATGGGATATCGTTGAAAATACCATGTTTTGATATTCACAGCATCCACGGTTAAAGGTTGTCATTTGCCCAGCATCTACCCGCCTCTAGAACGCAGTACCAGCCCCAGTTGCCAGACAAGAGACCAAGCTTTTAGTCACCCTTTCGACGGCCTGCACAAGTAAACACGCAGCTCTAAATACATCGCTGTCAACCTACTACCAAGTTTCCTGGCAAACATCATCAACTACTACGATGTGCACCATGTGGTTCCACATCACCTACTGTGAGACTTGCAACGGGTACATCGACTCTCATCTCGTTGGCACCGTCTTTTGCGGCCGCCGGGACCAGGACTTGCCGTGCGAGGTGGAAATGGCAATCGGGGAGACGGCGGTGCCTGGACCGTGTGGAACATGCCAGCCGCGCCCAATACTTCGACGAAGCCGGCGTCTGTGGCTTCTGAGCCTGGAGACGCACAAAAAGGGCCATGAAGAGTCCCGAGGGCGAGACGGATGCTGAGGGCGCAGACGCCGACGACAATGACGGCGACATTTCAAAGGGAAAGTCAGACGCTGGTATACCGTTCGCAACCTAGAAGTTATGATATACATTGAAGCCTTCGTCTCATGTGTACCGTACAATCTTTGGGCTCATTTAAAAACCGAATACAAGCACCTAACCCATGTCGGTGTTGATGCCTTTGCTCTGCCACTCTGTCCAACCCGCAAAAGAAACGTCTTGTGATACGTTCGACGGCATTCTCCGCCCTCGCACCTCGTCTCACCAAACTTTCACTGCAGTGGTCCACAATGGACTGCAGGGCCTGACTGAGACGCTTTTGAAATACGACGGCTGCGTCACTAACGATTCGTACCCATGCCAAGGCAAGGATTGTTGGCGGTGAGCGTGGGGATGCTGACATGGATGGGATGGAGTGTGCTGACGGCAGTCGGAGAAATGGATGGCCGGTTGGTAAATGGAGCTTGGCTCTCCTGGAGACGACACGATGAGCGCGAGAACCGGTGTGGTAGGCAATACGACAGCAGGCCGGAGGCGAGATGCGGTGAGATTAAAGAGTGGAAAGGCAAAATGCGAGTACATAGAAACATGAAAGGGGATATTGAAAAAAAAAAGGAAAAGAAAAAAGAAAAAAGAAAAAGAAAAAAAAAAAAAAACGACTAACGAAAAGAGTGAAATTCCCACGATATCGGGTCATCCCCTTTTCACTCATCGTCGTCCATTCGCACACCGCTGCCCTCAACACTTCCAGTCGTCCCGGCCCAGCCGCACAATGTCGTTGGTCTCAATCACCCAGTACGCCGACGGCGCCTTGCCCTGCGACGCCAACAGCGCCGCGTGCGCCGCCGCCTTGGCAATGACGTCTGCGTCCTGGGCCATGCTGTCGTGCCACGCCTTGGACACGGTCTTGGACGCGCCCACCAGCGCCTTGAAGACGCCGGCGCCCTGATGCTCGACCTCGCGGTCGCCCAGGATCAGGCCCGGCTTGAGGACAATGGCCTGCTCAAAGCCCAGCTCCTTGATCGTGTCCTCGACACCGTTCTTCATCTTGGAGTAGGGCAGGCTGCGCGCCAGCAGCGACCGCGTGCCGGCGCTCGAGACAAACACAAACGTCTGGACCCCGGCGGCCTTGGCGGCGCGCGCAATCTCGACGTTGAGGTCGTGGTCGATCTTCCACTGGTTGGCAATGCCGCCGGCCGCGGCACGCGTGGTGCCGAGCGACGAGAACACGGTGGACACCGGCTGCGCACCCGCGGCCGCCGCCTCCTTGAACTTGGGCGCCCACTGCTCCGTGTCCTTCTCAACGACGGCGTCCAGCTTCTTGGCCAGCGTGGCGTCGTCGGCCTGTTTGGGCGCACGGCGCGTGATTGTGTGCACGGTGCCAAAGGCATCGAGGCCCAGCAGCGCTGTGACGAGGTGGGATCCGACCAGACCCGTGGCGCCAAAGACGGCCGATGTGATGGGGGAAGAAGCCATGGCGGTGATACCGACGTTGAGCAAGCAATTGATGCTGTGCTACAGGAAGCTGGTCAACGTGAAGCTAGATTGCACTCCAGGAAGATGAAGTTGTGAATAGAACGGATGATACGTAGAGAGGACTCAGAGAAACGGATCAGGCCACTGAAACAAAAGACATGGCGCAATGGCTATATATCTGGTTCCTCGGACACTTTCCGTAGCTCTCCGCAATGCTTTTATGTTTCGATGCTGGCGTCATTGGGGTTTCGTCGCTCTTGCCCGAAATGGGCATCACGTGCTCAATTCGACATCCGACCACCAAAAATACGCTGGTGCTCGCTGTTAGCGGCGGAGGAGCGCTGCTCGATGCTGCTTGGGGAAGCCGCGCAGGGTAGCACCTGCCTGCGGTCTCTTGCGTCAACGCCCGCGCTGCCTGTTGCGCCTGCCGCATACGCTGGCGCCAGCAAAAGCTTTGCCCCGCGCCGCACCTGCGCATTTTGGAGCCATCCGTCACACTACGACTTGGCGAGCTTCACGATAGCTCTTTCTTTTCCTGTCTCTCTCCTAGAACCACAAGGACAGCTTCCACAATGGCCACACCATACGAGGGTGCGTTCCTTCCTCCTTTGTATCCCCCTTTTGCTTCTATCGTACGTCTTGACCTCAGCTAATAAATAATCTCAAAACACAGTCGAACACAACATCAAGACGTCGTCGGCGTCCCGGCGGCGGCGCCAGATCGACATGTCCACGTTTACGGCGCACCTCCACAACGTGTCGACCGCCACGGCCGCCGGCGCCCATGCGGATGCCACGCACAACAACCCCCACGCCACGCCGACACCGGTCGATGTTGCCGCCGTCTTTCGGCTCGTGCAAGACCAGATGCTGACGCTGCTCCCCGACAGCCCCAACGCGGCCAACCGCGACCTGCTCGAGCAGCTCGCCGGGCAGCTGGAGCAGCAGATTGCCGACCCGCCGCGGGAGATTACGGGTGTCTCGCAGGAGTACCTGGACACGCTGGACCGCGTGCCGAAGAAGCGGCTCGGCCAAGACGAGTCGTGCCCCATTTGCGTCGAGCGGTACCTCGACGACCCGTACGCGCTCGTCGTCGAGCTGCCGTGCCACGCAAGCCACCGCTTCGACTTGGAGTGCGTGGGACCCTGGCTGCTGTCCAATGGCAACTGTCCGCTGTGCCGGACAGACCTGACAAAGAAGAAGCAGGTGGTCACGCCCGACGAGGAGGAGGAGGAGGAGGACGACGGCGGCATGTTTGGTTAGAGCAGAGGACGGGAAAAGGGAGAGAGTGAGGCGGTGAGAGAGTGAGAGAGTGAGAGAGAAGATGACATGATGAATGAACGAGCGAGCTGGCGTTACTGGGCATGAGCTTTGGCACGATGCAATCAAACAAATTCAACGACAACCCCGTCTCTTGGCCTTGCCATCGGTGCGAGCCTCGTGTTGACAGTCTCTGGGACGCATCGGGAAGCGTATCAAAGACCAAAGCCGTACAACCGTCCGGCAATCCTTGCTTATTTGACGAGCCTAGATGCACAAACGACAAGAGACCATGGCATATGTCATGAGACGCAATGGCGCGATACTTGAGAAACAAGACAAACGTCGCATGTTTCGACTTGCACTGTGTAGTCCTGCCCACAGAATTTGCCAGTCCAAGCAAATGCAACTCGTATGCAGAAGCAGCAAGGGAGCGGTCATGAGGCCCCAAGTGAATGAGACCAAGACGACCGGTCCGCCAAGCATGCGCGGCATGTTATTTCAGGTTTTGGTACAATTTACAAGACAACAAACGGCGTACGTTTAGTCTGTTCGTCCTGGGCAAGGAGGAAAGTAGAATAAAGCAACACTGTGAATTGGGAGATACAAGTCGGGACATACGGCGTAAAGGGACCAAAATATGTCACAATCCGTAGATATCGAAAAACCAAGAATAGATTGGTGCTGTGGAGCATTGTACTGACGAAACACTGGGCATGGCTTCTAGCACGACCTGACTTGATAAATGTGCATCAAATCTTGGGCCATGGCATGTAAGCAACAGGATATAGACCGGCCATGCAATGATGGCAGAGCCGTAGGTGCGGTAGGTACTCCGGCAGACGCACACGGGGAAACGATACCGAGAAACAATGAGAGGAACGGGACGGACGGGCGGGCACCATCCCGGTGATTTAGCCCCTTCCCCCAGAGACTCTTATGAGTCCACGTAGCAGAGGCCCGCCGTTACGTCTTTTACTTCTACAACTGTACATCCCCCCGCGAACCTCTCTTCACCCGCTCCTTTCCTTTTGCTTGGACATCGTCGATGCGGTCCATTTCATTTTGTGGTCCGTTCCTTCCTCTAGCGTGAGCGCTTGTTTCCTTCGGCCCAGTCACTATCGTCTATATCGCGTCCTTTTCACCGTATCTGAGAATGTCATCTTTTTGCCGTGAAATCGATATCGGCGGGAAACCTGTTCTCGTCGCAGTGGTCCTTTAGAGTCTCTGCCCATGGTTAGTGCCAGGCGCCATGTGCCCCTATCTTCCGATATTGGCATCTAGCCCTGGCGTTGTTGTCTCTTTCCGCTTGGTCTATATCTTAGGGCTGTTCTAGGGCGCAGTCCTTCCTAGTTCTCGTTTCCCTGCCGATGTACTCTGCACCCTCTTTTGTTGTACTTTATCATATGCTTTCCTTGCAATGTCTCACTTTCCATTGCCCTGTCTGCCATTTGTTTCAACTGCTGGGCTTTCCAGGTTTGCCACGCGCCAAGGCCCAATCTGGGAGGCTGCAGCGACTTATCACACGTGGCAGGGACATGGGGTCCGTCGCAACGACCTCGTTTAATACTCCATGTGCGCTGTTGCATCTACAATTTCGCGTTCCACATTTCTGGCTCTGCGCACTTTGGCATACCACGGAGTAATTACGACGTACAATGTACCAGCTATGCACGCCGTTGACCACCAACGCGTTCGAGAACGACCCAGCAGTTGGGGTGCGAAAGAATGCTCGTTTCCCTTAGGGCAGGGCCATGCTACTTTCGTACCGAGCAGTCCTGAAACGTGCCTTGACTAGCTACTAAAGTTAGAGATACAGTCTCGCCACTGCCGTCGGTAATTAAGATTAGCTTTTCGCCACAGGCCCTGAAAACAGGGGAGACGAAAAATGGAAGCTGCATGGAAGAATGCAAAGTGGAGCAGCCCTTTCGGTGTCTCCGTGGTCCTGGTTTCTTTTGCAAGGACGCCTGCAAGGGGGCGGTGAGTTTTGATGCAAATGGGAAGACTTTCATCTCAATTTTAATGTATTTTGTTTCTGACGGACAGAGAAACTGGTCTCAACGCAGCTTCGTCTGCTACTTTCAGAGTACTGGATCCTTGGAGCACAGTTCGACCCGCCTCTTCCTACGCACAGATGTTCCCAACCCTGCTAGCCACAACGAACACAGTACGGCGTATTCGCACAAGAACTGCATGTTCTCTCAGGCTCCCATCGGGCTTGGCCAGTCTCTGTTTCTGACACCAGTCTTCTGAGTTCCGGCTCGCGGTCCAAGCCCTGCGGCCACACTCACCCCGGACGCTGAATGGACAGGGAAGGAAGGCAGGATCGCTTGTGACAGCGCCTTCATGCTCTCCGCATGCGTTTGCCTTGTAAGATTATCTCAGTCCGTCCGTCTTATTCCCTGTCTCACATCGCCGTTCGTAGCAACGACAGATTACAACTTGCATTGTCAAGATACGGTGTACACGTATTGTGCGCCCTGTCAGCCTGTGTTATTTTAATCTGGCACATGCACATGTACAGCAGTAAATATTAACCCCCAGGCTCTCCGATGACAATGGTAGGCATTTGTTAATGTCGTATTTCATGGCAAAGTGCCGACTGCCATTTTCATACAACATGTGGAGTAATACGTCGTAGGGCACTCTTGTTAGCGTCCATTGCCTGGCTCCTTCCTCACTGAACCAGCTGCTACACCAGAGACTGCGGTGTCTTTTAAATCAAGATATTTTGCAGGACGTGACAGAATGGAGAATGCAGAATGCAGAATAGAAAATGCAGAATGCATATTACGCAGCGCTTTCGGCTCAAGAAATTCAAGTAAAATTTGGACACTGACGGCTGATGTTCGTGCTTCCTTCAGACTGTACCGACGCTTGTGCCCACCTTCGTCGGTCGCTCCTGCCCTGCCGAGCTTGCATAATGCGCTCACATGAAAGAACGCCAATCCTTCCCGAATTGACCTGTATTACTGCGCAATTCTCCTGCTGTGCATTGTCTCCACTCTTCGTCCCCTGACGCCAACTGCTGTCGAACCAACCGGAGGTGTCAACTGCCATGTGCGCACGACAAATCCTTGCCCAACCCTGCTAGAATGTCCCGCTAACAGGCCTCTGTTGGCTCTTTACCACGTTTCCCGCACACCACTTCCGCCACCTATTTCATCGTCAGATCGTGTCTTGTTTCGTCGCCACGCCACTCCCGAAACACTGAAGGATTTGTCTGGTAGTTTGGTGTGCTGGTACTTTCAGGCATTGCGCTTGTCCAGCCTGCTGTGCCTGCACAAGGTAGGGATGCCGAAAGGAGCAAAGGCGATGCCTTGCAATCACCAAACTATCGAGACGACTTCGTATCTCTTTATCTGAGAGCGGCACCCCGCTCCTTCCCCCAGGGTAGGAGGGTAAGAGCCGGGGTTCTTTCCCACTCTGTCATCTCGTGAGCGATTGCTCAATAAAACAAGCGCCCCTGTTGCGTGCACGCTTCATAATTAATAATTAATACGGGGCGTGCATGGAAGCCTGCAGGCCGGTATTTCCATTTTCAGTCGTTTCCCACCGCGCCCAAGAAACACCGACGAAAGAAGAATGGAAGACGAAAAGAACACATGAAGAAGGAAATGAAAGTGCATTTTGCAGCGCATCTCACTTTGCCAATAGAGTCTCCCATCTCCAGCCCACCGTGGCAACGCAACATTGGGCGTATACAACTGTACATGATCCATGCGTCGCAGCGTCGCGAGCTGGCTGTTGGGTTGCGCCTTCCAAGCACTGCTGTTGCCCAAAGACAGAAACCGAGGCCTGACGCGTCCGGCGACCATTACGTCGTGTGCATTGCGCCTTCCTTACGAGATAGAAACGTAACGACAGAAGGTGCACCTGCAGAGCAAAGATCGTCAATACTCCCCCAAATGGAAGGACCGGGCAAGCAAAAGCTTATTCGGCTGCCATTTTTATTCGGCTGTCCGTTTTCAACCCTGGAGCCCGTCGCCATTTTAGACCAAAATAGCCTGCCCTTTGCTCCTTCCTGTCCATATCTCATATCTCGCACACTTGCTCACCTTCCCATTGTTCGGCTTGGCTTCTGCGTTCCTCGTTTTCTTCCTTTGCGCATTCCTGTTTTGCTCACGTCCTGACCTCCCTTCCCCCCTTCCCCCCTTTCTCTGTCGCCATCTCTCCACACCGCAACTTTCCCTCTTTGCGCGGTCCAATTTTGGCTTC